TATTGCTTTGTCTTGTCTGTGTGTGTGTAAAACTTAATAAACAGAGTTCTCAAATACTTTTTTCCCTCACTGTACATACAGTACATACACATACATAGATACATACAGTACATACACATACATAGATACATACAGTACATACACATACATATATACATACAGTACATACACATACATAGATACTTACATAGATACAGACATATTACGGAGATACAGCCAAAAAAAAGGTTATACTGTTCACACATTAGCCAGCTTTTGACATTCTTTTAAAAAGTGGTTATGGTTGGTATGTCTTTGAGTTGCTGTTGTAGTTTGTTCCACTCAACAGCGGTATATAAAAATGTGTTCTTACCAGATAGACTCATATTTAAAACAGTGAATATTAGAGTCTCTGCTTCTGGTATTATGCTGTAGGACATCACTAGCAAATGAAAAATAGTTGGATAGGTACATGGGGGCTCTGTGATAATGATGTGGACTAGACCAAGTTGAATTAATACTACTATTTTTTTCTACAGATAGCCAGCCTAACTGCTTAAAATGAGTGACCTCCAGATGAGTATGAGTGGGGAGTACAATTACAAGTACAATTATTACAAGCTTGTTTTGGCTGGTCTATAGCTTATTTTTTTTAATGTTTGAGGCTGCTGGTGAACCATGATGTGCAGGCATAATAGAAGTGACACTGGACTAGCGCACTTGCAATTGCAGACAGATTTTCATGCTTTTTATTCTAAAATCTGCATAAAAACAATATTCACATTTTCCTATCAGAGTTTTGTTTCCATCAAATTGACTTGTTGCAGATAAAAGTCTATGCATAAATAGGTAGTGCAAATAACAATTACCTTTTGGTTAAATTCCCATGTACTGAATAAAAAATACAAGTTAAATGGGTTTCCATTGCATTTTCAACTCTAGGCCTACTGATGGTTTTGTCACCGAAAAATGTTGGGTTATATAGCGAATGTGTACACTCTGGTATTGGCACCTGCACTCTAGCCACCAGCTTACAGATACAGTGCGGGTATAACCTAAATATGCTAAATGGCATATTATGATGAGATTATTATGGACAAAAATTGCGAGATTATTTTTATTTGTCAAATGGCAGCCAAGCATCGATCATCATGTCACCAGAATAAGACCCTCGATATTTATTGAAAGGAGCATCAAGGTCACTGCATTTTCACCACCCTGTGAAGTTCATCATAACTTATTTCATCTGTAGCCTAGTAAACTGCATTCTTTCCTGAGTCTTAGTGGGAGGACTAAACACCATGTCATCGCATGACTCCAAGTTTACTTCAATATGATGGTTTATATACCATTATTTGCGCATAAAAGCATTTCTTGCATAATACATTTTACTGACACAAAAAGATCCCACATTGTCTAGCGTATTTTGTTTAGTCAACATTCGGAAAGTTTGCCAACAAATTTGCTGTTTCCATTAGGCCTGTCATGACATTTTCTATCCAATATGTACTTTACTCGCATAAAAAGGTTGGCTGGAAACCTGATTAATGTCAAGCCATTTTGAGGATGCTGGAAATATATTTTGGTCAAACCTACAGGAGACTTTGAAGTAGTCTAATCAGACTAAAACATTGTGACTGGTTGTGTTTATGCCACATATAAAAGGTAATACATTTAAAAAGTTCAATGAGAAATATTTAGGCTATATTGAAGGGGATAGATTCTACAGTGCCTTGCAAAAGTATTCATCCCACTTGGCGTTTTTCCTATTTTGTTGCATTACAACCTATAATTTAAATTGATTTTTATTTGGATTTCATGTAATGGACATACACAAAATAGTCAAAATTCGTGAGGTGAAATGAAAAAAATATTTGTTTCAAAAAAAGAAGTAACTGAAAAGTGGTGCGTGCATATGTATTCACCCCTTTGCTATGAAGCCCCTAAATAAGATCTGGTGCAACCAATTACCTTCAGAAGTCACATAATTAGTTAAATAAAGTCCACTTGTGTGCAGTCTAAGTGTCACATGATCTGTCACATGATCTCAGTATATATACACCTGTTCTGAAAGGCCCCAGTCTGCAACACCACTAAGCAATGGGCACCACCAAGCAAGTGGCACCATGACCAAGGAGCTCTCCAAACAGGTCAGGGACAAAGTTGTACAGATCAGGGTTGGGTTATAAAAAAATATCAGAAACTTTGAACATCCCACGGAGCACCATTAAATCCATTATTAAAAAATGGAAAGAATATGGCACCACAACAAACATGCCAAGAGAGGGCCGCCCACCAAAACTCACAGACCAGGCAAGGAGGGCATTAATCAGAGAGGCAACAAAGAGACCAAAGATAACCCTGAAGGAGCTACAAAGCTCCACAGCGGAGATTGGAGTATCTGTCCATAGGACCACTTTAAGCCGTACACTCTACAGAGCTGGGCTTTACGGAAGAGTTGCCAGAAAAAAAGCCATTGCTTAATGTCACGTGAATTTCTATCTCTAATCCACCCTAAGCTTGAATCATTACCAGAGGTTGTAAGGCTCTGGTTTTAATCATCAATGATTCAAGGTCCACAACTCACAAGTCTTATCTGTATTTTTATTCATGGTGAGAGCTCTGAGGCCAAAACACAAATCGCCTTTCTTTATACTTCTTGACAAACAAAAACACTATGCTCCTCCCACCTTTCTTAAACAGTTCCCGCCTCCCCCCTTGAATGGTTAGTAACGCCCCTTCTGTTAGTGGGTTGACACTACATGATAATTCTAACATTTATACTGTGTTTGGGGTGTAATTCTTTAGTCATTATTCTTAAAATCCAAATTAATCTAACACTTAAAGAAAAAAATAAGCAAACACGTTTGGTGTTCGCCAAAAGGCATGTGGGAGACTCCCAAACATATGGAAGAAGGTACTCTGTTCAGATGAGACTAAAACGGAGCTTTTTGGCCGTCAAGGAAAGCGCAATGTCTGGCACAAATCCAACACCTCTCATCACCTCAAGAACACCATCCCCACAGTGAAGCATGGTGGTGGCAGCATCATGCTGTGGGGATGTTTTTCATCGGCAGGGACTGGGAAACTGGTCAGAATTGAAGGAATGATGGATGGCGCTAAATACAGGGCAATTCTTGAGGGAAACCTGTTTCTGTCTTCCAGAGATTTGAGACTGGGATGGAGGTTCACCTTCCAGCAGGACAATGACCCTAAGCATACTGCTAAAGCAAAACACTTGAGTGGTTTAAGGGGAAACATTTTGGAATGGCCTAGTCAAAGCCCAGACCTCAATCCAATTGAGAATCTGTGGTATGACTTAAAGATTGCTGTACACCAGCGGAACCCATCCAACTTGAAGGAGCTGGAGCAGTTTTGCCTTGAAGAATAGGCAAAAATCCCAGTGGCTAGATGTGCCAAGCTTATAGAGACATACCCCAAGATAATTTCAGCTGTAATTGTTGCAAAAGGCGGCTCTACAAAGTATTGACTTTGGGGAGGTGAATAGTTATGCACGCTCAACTTTTCAGTTTTTTTGTCTTTCTTGTTTGTTTCACAATAAATCATATTTTGCATCTTCAAGGTGGTAGGCATGTTGTGTAAATCAAATGATACAAACCCCCCAGAAATCAATTTTAAATCCAGGTTGTAAGGCAACAAAATAGGAAAAAACGCCAAGGGGGGTGAATACTTTCGCAAGCCACTGTAGGTGCTTGAGGAATAGCCGCTCGGATTGGAGAGGGGCGCGCATTAAGCTTTCCTGCCGGGAGCATATTTGGCCAAGTTATTATAGGATGACTTGGGAGAATGATGATCTGCAACAGACTCTCAGTATCAGAAGTAAGAATACAGCCAGACTGGCCTGCTATTGTGCCTTTTCTAGACCTTTATAAACTATCGAGAGTAGACACACAACTGACCAAATGGAATGAAACATTCAAATCACAGGGCTTTGGCACCTTTATTCTAATTACATTTTCACTGTAGCCTAGAGTAGAAGTTTGTACTCACTTTTTAAAAACAATAAAGCAATTATTTATTGCATTGTGGTGTTGTAGGCTAGTCTAGGTAGGATAATTGAGTTGTCCCTAAACAAGATAAGTAGGGGAGCTTTTTGAGCTGCGTGTCTCATTTCTTCACTGTTCTTTCATGCTGCAATGATGCCTTTCCGCTGCCTATCAGCTATTCATATTTGTTCTTGTGGATTCATATTATAAATCGATGCAGCTTTGAATGCTTTTATGTGTGGTATGATAGCAATTGCAGATCTGGACAAATGATCCACCTACCACTATTGTCACTATGAATGGTGGATAGAGGGCAGGATAAACAGTTAGGCTGGTAGACTATATAGACCTGTGGTATAGTAGAAGTTACATTGAGGGAAAAAGGTATTTGATCCCCTGCTGATTTTGTATGTTTGCCCACTGACAAAGACATGATCAGTCTTTAATTTTAATAGTAGGTTTATTTGAACAGTGAGAGACAGAATAACAACAACAAAAATCCAGAAAAACGCATGTCAAAAATGTTATAAATTGATTTTAATGAGGGAAATAAGTATTTGACCCCCTCTCAATCAGAAAGATTTCTGGCTCCCAGGTGTCTTTTATACAGGTAACGAGCTGAGATTAGGAGCACACTCTTAAAGGGAGTGCTCATAATCTCAGTTTGTTACCTGTATAAAAGACACCTGTCCACAGAAGCAATCAATCAATCAATATACACACTGGGCAATAGCCAAAATAAATAGCATTTGAATCAGGCTTAACCTGTCCTATCTGAACGACACAGGTAGGGCAAGACTGCACAGCCTCCCCTTAAGAAACCAAATTGAATTTGAATTAGTTTTTTTAAAAGTATTAGTATTACATGAATGAAACCTGTATTTCATACAGCTGATACATGTTATGATTCTGAATCATTGTAGTGTGGGTGTACGTGTATATATAGTGTACTGAGTGAAAGTTATCCTTCAACTCAGAGTAAATATGCATGTTCTTTGAACTTTGGGTTCAATCAATGGAAGCCTATTTCAGCCGATCTGATTGGATCAGACTTTCAGGGCTTTTGAAAGGACCATCTAAATGTTTCACCATCCGCTGCTGGGAGAACGTACACAGTCTCTCTCAACCCCCCAGAAGATGAACCCAACCCTGGCTTTGCTGCTGCTCTGCCAGCTTGCCTTGTATACGTCAGTGACATCCAAGAAAGGTACAGTGCAAATTATTTGATTAATGCTATATTTTTCAATTACAGAATATATATTACAGTGTTGGTTCACAAGACTCTGTAACCTATGCTTTAGCTGTATTTCATATATTTGTTTTTATATAATATACAGGGTAACATTGTTTGTCTATCATTCCCATTTATCCTCAGTATGTGGCCGCCCGCCCGTGACCGACGGTATAGATACGCTGGGCCTAAAGCGTGTGTATGAGATTGGAGAAGAGGTGACCCTGGCGTGTGAGCGTGGATACATACCTGGGAAAGCCAGAACAGCCAGGATCACCTGCTCTGCCTCGGGAGAGTGGACCAAACTGGACCTTGTGTGTTCTCGTAAGTTCCACCCCATTCACAAAACATCCAATATATAATGTAAAGCATAAGTCCACCTATGGTCACAAAAATTCAGGTAAATTATTGGATTTTCCAGAAATCCTGGTTGGAGGATTCCAGATTTCCTGCTTATTAGCCCCTGATTCAAGGAATCTTCCAACTGGGATTTCTGGAAAACCTGGGAATTTTGGGAACATTTCTGAGAATTTTAGAACCCTAAAGTCACCTATACAGTACCATGGACAGTCCATACTATTTATTTTAATTGTATTTTTACAACATATCCACATGAATCTTATACATTTTTGACACAGCAAAGATGTGCCCTCTCCCCAAGCCTATGCAAAAGCCAGGGATGATTGACGTGCCATTCAAGAGTGTACTCAACTACACCTGTGATGACGGGTGAGGGAAATACAGTGTGTTTTAGTTCTGACTACATTTTGACTATGCATCTCAGACCAATAAGAATTTGTGTTCTTCAGGTACGTCATGATAGGAGCCAATGAGAGCGTGTGTTTACACGACGGTACCCTCAGTGCACCACCACCAATGTGTAAAGGTATATCTCTTTACCATACCTCAGGAATGTAACCTTGCTTTTCTCCATTGTGCCTAAATATGAAAATATAGTGTCTCAATTATTTTTAATATTTCTTCCCTCCAGCTGTGAGTTGTGCTCTGCCTCAAGCACCTAAGCATGGTAAAATTGTCTATGACAAGAAGTTCACCGGCAGTGAAACCCGGTACGGACAGAGTTGGACATATGAGTGTTTGCCGCCAAGAGCTCCCATTGGCAACGAGAGAGGATCGTGCCTGGCCAGTGGAAACGTGACTGAGCCACCAGTATGCGAGGGTAGGTGCAGACAGTGGCAGCACAAGCAAAAATGGTCTGTTCCATCATGAACAAAGCTCATTGGTTGAGAAATTGTTTCTGGTTGAACCACTGATTAATTATCAATTATCTTTTGGGGCACATTATTACATGCACTACCAGTCAAAGGTTTGGACACACCTACTCATTCAAGTTATTTATTTATTTTTACTATTTTTTTACATTGTAGAATAATAGTGAAGACATCAAAACTATGAAATAACACATATGGAATCACGTAGCAACCAAAAAAGTGTTAAACAAATCAATTGAGATTCTTCAAAGTAGCCACTCTTTGCCTTGATGACAGCTTTGCGCACTCTTGGCATTCTCTCAACCAGCTTCACCTGGAATGCTTTTCCAAAAGTCTTGAAGGAGTTCCCACATATGCTGAGCACTTCTTGGCTGATTTTCCTTCACTCTACGGTCTACCTCATCCCGAACCATCTCAATTGGGTTGAGGTCAGGGGATTGTGGAGGCCAGGTCATCTGATGCAGCACCCCATCACTCTCCTTCTTGGTAAAATAGCCCTTACGCAGCCTGGAGGTGTGTTGGGTCATTGTCCTGTTGAAAAACAAATGATAGTCCCACTAAAACCAGATATATTTTGATTTGTTTAACACTTTTTTGGTTGCTACGTGATTCCATAGGTGTTATTTCATAGTTTTGATGTCTTCACTATTATTCTACAATGTAAAAAATAAATACAAATAAAATAAAATGGGGGGGCCCCTAGCGGTATGGGAACTGCTTATGCCTGGAGCCGGCCCTGATGATGATTCTCTAAAATGGTTATCGCTAACTGCTCATCCACTCCAAGCGATGATAATTGATCAATTTGCATAATCCTGTCTTCCTCTGTTTACACCTTAACAATTATTTCAATAATGTAGACTAACCCTGACAATATTACTTGAAATAGGTTATTGCATTGTTAATACACTTTCACTAGCCCATTACTTTTCTGACCTGTTGCAGAGGTGAGTTGCTCCATCCCACCAACGATAGACCACGGCTTCATCACCTTTGCTGTGATGAGGGAGGCTGGCTACAAGGAGAAGGTCAAGTACCAGTGCCAGGAACACTACGTTCTGGACGGCTCTGAGGAAATACAGTGTCAGAATACAGGCAACTGGTCCACTTTGCCCGTTTGTAGAGGTGAGTCAGTGTAGGGTGAAGTTGCCCCTAGACGCTGATCTTCGGTCAGTTTTATATTTCCCCCACTAATGGTTAAGGTTAGGATTGAGGGAGGGGAAGCTGACCCTAGATCTGTACATCAGAGGAGGCTGGTTGGAGGAGCTATAGGAGGACGGGCTAATTGTAATGGCTGGAATGGAATATATGGAACGGTATCAAACACATAAAAAAATATGGAAAGCACAAGTTTGACTCTGTTCCATTTATTCCATTCCAGCAATTACAATTAGCCCGTCCTCCTATAGCTCCTCCCACCAGCCTCCTCTGCTGTACATAGGGGAAACTTCACACCTGAGCCATTGAGTCATAGAAAAGGTTGCACTGTTTTTACACTTGTGGGAATGTCACTTGTGTGTTTCTGTATATCGAACCAGCTTGTTGACTTACATGTGATTAGATGTGTATCAGCAACCATTTATTTAATCTTCGATGACTGAAATGATTGCGTAATGAGAGCATTCTGCCATTGTGACTTTGAGCAAGGCACTGTATTCCCAAAACGTCTCCTTGTGGGGGCACTGCTGTGTGGCTGACCAACCTATTATATGTGTGGTGTACGTGGTGTGGTGTGTTGGGTACTGATACAGAAGAAAATGAAGAATTTCCATGATTTATTCCATTTAATTATATTCCTATTCAATTCTAAACTGAAAGTAATGTTGCTTTGCTTGTCTTCACGTTACTGCAGCCCCCTGTAAAGTTAACATCAACAGAGGTCGCATCTTCTACAACGCCAAGAAGATCTGGATTGGGGATTTGAAACCCAATAGAGTCCTTCACGGGGAGCCTGTTGTGTTCTACTGTCTGAACAAGGAGCTGAAGTGTGGCATTCCAGTAGCAAGTCAATGCAACGACGGCACACTCAATACCCCAGAATGCTTTAAAGGTGAGGCAGGTCGTACCAAAATAACATGGTCACGTTCATTATGGCATGCATGTTTTAAAACATTTTACTACCACGTAAATCGAAAATGAGTGTTTCTTATTGGACAAGTGTTGGCAGTCTCCATGTTTCAGTCCATTTTCTTCTGTTTTGGTGACAAATGAACACGACACAGAGTAAAATGTGTTGTGGTCGCTGCCATCACATTTTCAAAGCTTCCCAAATGCTGTTTAGTTGAGTCCTTCATATTCTCACAACTAAAATTCAAAATGTGTTTGTGTGTCTGTCTTTCTCTTAGAACCAGGCAAGATGGAGTACACCCTCAAGCCCAAATCACTTCCATCTGAGATTGCGATGTGTCCTGCTGACCTAACAAAATAAACACAATACGAAGAGGAAAGATTGGGCAAATAAATTACAAATAAATGTGACTTTGTGTCCAAATAATCCAGCCTTGCTTTTGTTAATAACCTGTTGATTGTTTCCATAACTTGAATGAGCCTGAATTTGATTGCCTGTAAAGTATAGTACATGTTACCTGAAAACAACACTAGATGTCAGTATAGGATTACAGTATTTGGAAGCTCTGCTCATACACAAAGGGCTCTACAGTTTTGAGAGAGAAAAACAAGTTACTTTTTAACTAAGAGTAAACATACCTTTGTTTTGACTTGAACTCGATATCTGATTGAACTCTTGCACTTTTGCAACAAGAACAACAAACAAACTGTATGAGATTACAAATGCATTCCCTACTGTTAACAGATAAAATCACACAAAGATGCATAGTATCAAATCAAATCAAATCAAATTTTATTGGTCACATGCGCCGAATACAACAGGTGCAGACATTACAGTGAAATGCTTACTTACAGCCCTTAACCAACAGTGCATTTATTTTAAACAAAAAAGTAAGAATAAAACAACAACAAAAAAGTGTTGAGAAAAAAAGAGCAGAAGTAAAATAAAGTGACAGTAGAGAGGCTATATATACAATAAAATAAAGTGACAGTAGGGAGGCTATATATACAGGGGGGTACCGTTGCATAGTCAATGTGCGGGGGCACCGGCTAGTTGAGGTAGTTGAGGTAATATGTACATGTGGGTAGAGTTAAAGTGACTATGCATAAATACTTAACAGAGTAGCAGCAGCGTAAAAAGGATGGGGTGGGGGGGCAGTGCAAATAGTCCGGGTAGCCATGATTAGCTGTTCAGGAGTCTTATGGCTTGGGGGTAGAAGCTGTTGAGAAGTCTTTTGGACCTAGACTTGGCACTCCGGTACCGCTTGCCGTGCGGTAGCAGAGAGAACAGTCTATGACTAGGGTGACTGGAGTCTTTGACAATTTTGAGGGCCTTTGAGGGCCTAGTAGTAGGTCTGCATATGTAGATCTACACCACTGCATCATCTAGACGCATCAATGTTATAGTGCTAGAATGGTTTCAGTCAACTTATCGTACCACATAAATGGATTGAAGGCACATTCTCTTTTGCAACCATGATTTGGTGAAAAGTTACAGAGAACTGGTGATGTTGATGTGTACTAGGAATGGGGGCAGGGCAATCCTGCCATATAACCAGTAAGGGTCATTTTTATATTTTAGCAGACACTCTTATCCAGAGCGACTTACAGTTAAGTGAGTGCATACATTTTCATACTGGCCCCCCGTGGGAATCGAACCCACAACCCTGGCGTTGCAAACGCCATGCTCTACCAACTGAGCTACATCCCTGCTGGCCATTCCCTCCCCTACCCTGGACGACGCTGGCTAATTGTGCGCTGCCCCATGGGTCTCCCGGTCACTGACGGCTACGACAGAGTCTGGATTCGAACCAGGATCTCTAGTGGCACACCTAGCACTGCGATGCAGTGCCTTACGCCACTCGGGAGACTCGGTCTGGTGTATTACGGTAAATTACGAAACAGACTAAAAGAGCCAGAGGTTGCCTCATTCTGCGTTGTCATCGACCCTTATCTGTTTACCTTGAGTAACACAAAGCGTTGGGAGCTCCAACGACGTTCCAATTTTTACCCTTGAAACCAGAGAGGAGAGACGCTCTCTCCACACCACAGACGATGGCTCCAAGTCTGGCTTTGCTGCTGCTCTGCCAACTTGCCTTGTATACACCAGTGACATCCAAGAAAGGTACAGTATCTATTATTATGGTATCTACACTGAACAAAAATATAAACGCAACATGCAACAATTTGAAAGATTTTACTGAGTTACAGTTCATATACCTCCTGAGTGGCGCAGTGGTCTAAGGCGCCGCATCGCAGTGCTAACTGTGCCACTAGAGATTCTGGATCGAATCCAGGCTCTGTCGCAGCCGGCCGCGCCCGGGAGACTCATGGGCGGCGCACAATTGGCCCAGCGTCGTCCAGGGTAGGGGAGGGAATGGCCGGCAGGGATGTTGATAGAGCATGGCTTTTGCAACGCCAGGGTTGTGGGTTCGATTCCCACGGGGGGCCAGTATAAAAAAAAAAATGTATTCACTAACTGTAAGTCGCTCTGGATAAGAGCGTCTGCTAAATGACTAAAATGTAAATATCAGTGAATTGAAATAAATTCATTAGGTCCTAATTTATGGATTTCACATGAAGGAATACAGATATGCATCTGTTGGTCAAAGATAACTTTAAAAAAAGTAGGGGCGTGCATCAGAAAACCAGTCAGTATCTGGTGTGACCACTATTTGCCTCATGCATTTGCCTAATTTCCTGCAGTCAGCATGCCAATTGCACGCTCCCTCAAATTGAGACATCTGTGGCATTGTGTTGTGTGACCAAACTGCACATTTCAGAGTGGCCTTTCATTATCCCCAGCACAAGGTGCACCTGTGTAATGATCAGGCTGTTTAATCAGCTTCTTGATATGCCACACCTGTCAGGTGGATGGATTATCTTGGCAAAGGAGAAATGCTCACTAACAGGGATGTAACAAATTAGTGCAACAAATTTGAGAGAAATAAGCTTTTTGTGCATATGGAACATTTCTGGGATCTTTTATTTCAGCTCATGAAACATGGGACCAACACTTTACATGTTGCGTTTATATTTTTGTTCATATATATGTGCCAGTGTTTTGGCCTATTGATTTAGAATACTTTTTTGTTTCTGTGCTGTATACTGTTCAATATTCCTAAGTACTCTCAGTGAACATGTTGTCAGGGTGTGTTTAAACAAATGGGCTTGTGTTATGTTGAAGAATACTTTCAGTTACTGTAAAATGAAGCGAAAAATACACTTTATTTTAAAAGTCCACCTACCTTTATGCTCAACAAACTATCACTAGACTATCAGTAACATGTCAACTTCATGTCTGGGGAGTTGCACGGATACTTCTTTGGTTAACCTGTGTGTCCATGTTTTTTCTGTGTGTGTGTGTGTGTGTGTGCGCGTGCGTGCGCGTTTCATTGACCTGTCCCGTTGCCTGTCTGCCCCCTCAGAATGTGGCCGCCCGCCCCTGATTGACGGTATGGAACTGGAGGGGCACCAGAGGGTGTACTCCCCCGGAGACAATGTGGCGCTGTCGTGTAAACGTGGATATACACCCACCTCAGGCTCTCGCATAATCATCTGCACTGCTAGCGGAGACTGGTCCGAGTCTAGACTCAAGTGCTCAAGTAGGTTGCTGTTATAAAGTTTGACCGAAAACAGTATTATTGTTCATGTATCATAATTTGATACTCTTGCATTGTCAGTTGATACTCAAAAAAACATTCCATGTATTATCAGTTGATACTCACTTTATTGCAAGTAGTATCAGTTTATAGTCAGTATATTGCTAATATTATCAGTTGATACTTAGTATATTCCATGTATTATCAGTTGATACTCAGTATATTACAAGTATTATCAGTTGATACTCAGTATATTGCAAGTATTATCAGTTGATACTCAGTATATTCCATGTCTTATCACTTAATACTCAATATATTACAATAATTATCAGTTGATACTCAGTATATTGCAAGTATTATCAGTTGATACTTAGTATATTCCATGTATTATCAGTTGATACTCAGTATATTACAAGTATTATCAGTTGATACTCAGTATATTACAAGTATTATCAGTTGATACTCAGTATATTACAAGTATTATCAGTTGACACTCATACTGATGGAACTGTTGAGCAATGCTGACTGAATCTTTTTTTTAAATTCTGATGCAGCAAAGAGTTGCTCTTTCCCAAAAGCACTAGACCATGGAGACATGGAGTTTGTGGACATTGTCTACCAGAGTACCATCAACTACACCTGCCATGAGGGGTATGGGGAATACCATTTACACATTTTAGTGTCTCATTGACGACTGGTCACCTCTCTGTGCTGTCAAAGTATATAACATGTTATTGTATCAAAGAAATGTAAAGTAGGTAAAAGTTGAAATCACTGTATACCCAGACACCTAATATTGTGGCCACTATTATTTGACAGATTACGGTAATGTGATTGTGGTCTACAGGTATACCTTGCAAGGAGCCAGTAGGGTTGAGTGCTTGGATGACGGACAATGGAGTGAGCCACCACCGAAGTGTACACGTACGTTTCTGCCTTATGCTGAAATACATAACTACTTACAAACTCACATTGATAATGCATACATTACAAAGCACAATATAAATGTAAATGTGGCTTTATTGCTGTAATTGTAAAGAGCATTCTACAATGTGTAAAACTGAGATTTGAATAATAGCTTTACTGTAGGCTATATTATTCATATTCATACAGTACCAGTGAAAAGTTTGGACACACCTACTCATTCAAGAGTTTTTCTTTATTTGTACTATTTTCTACATTGTAGAATAATTGTGAAGACATCAAAACTATGAAATAACACACATGGAATCATCTAGTAACCAAAAAAGTGTTCAACAAATCAAAATACACTTTTTGATTTTAGATTCTTCAAAGCAGCCACCCTTTGCCTTGATGACAGCTTTGCACACTCTTGGTATTCTCTCAACCAGCTTCAGGAGGAATGCTTTTCCAACAGTCTTGAAGGCGTTTCCACATATGCTGAGCACTTGTTGCTTTTCCTTCACTCTGCAGTCCAACTCATCCCAAACCATCTCAACTGGGTTGAGGTCGGGTGATTGTGGAGGCCAGGTCATCTGATGCAGCACTCCACCACTCTCCTTCTTGGTCAAATATCCCTTACACAGCCTGGAGGTGTGTTGGGTCATTGTCCTGTTGAAAAACAAATGATAGTCCCACCGGTCTAATGTCCATTGCTCGTGTTTATTGGCCCAAGCAAGTCTCTTCTTATTATTGGTGTCCTTTACATTTTAGTCATTTAGCAGATGCTCTTATCCAGAATGCATACATGTATTTTTATTTATTTTATTTAATTTTTTCATACTGGCCCCCCGTGGGAAACAAACCCACATCCCTGCCGGCCAAACCCTCTCCTATCTTGGACGACGCTGGACCAATTGTGCGCCGCCCATGGGTCTCCCGGTTGCGGCCGGCTGCGACAGAGCCTGGACTCAAACCAGGATCTCTAGTGGCACAGCTAGCCTTAGCCTTAGACCACTGCGCCACTCGCCACTTTAGTAGTGGTTTCTTTGCAGCAATTTGACCATGAAGGCCTGATTCACACAGTCTCCTCTGAACAGTTGATGTTGAGATGTGTCTGTTACTTGAACTCAGTGAAGCATTTATTTGGGCTGCAATCTGAGGTGCAGTTAACACTAATGAACTTATCCTCTGCAGCAGAGATAACTCTGGGTCTTCCTTTCCTGTGGCGGTCCTCATGAGAGCCAATTTCATCATAGCTCTTGATGGTTTTTGCGACTGCACTTGAATAAACTTTATTCGCATTGACTGACCTTCATGTCTTAAAGTAATGATGGACTGTCGTTTCTCTTTGCTTATTTGAGCTGTTCTTGCCATAATATGGACTTGGTCTTTTGCCAAATAGGGCTATCTTCTGTATACCATCCTTGCCTTGTCACAACACAACTGATTGGCTCAAATTCCACAAATTAACTTTTAACAAGGCACACCTGTTAATTGAAATGCACTCCAGGTGACTACCTCGTGAAGCTGGTTGAGAGAATGCCAAGAGTGTGCAAAGCTGTCATCAAGGCAAAGGGTGGCTACTTTGAAGAATCTCAAATATAAAATATATTTGTTTAACACTTTTTGGTTACTACATGATTCCATATGTGTTATTTCATAGTTTTGATGTCTTCACAATTATTCTACAATGTAGAAAATAGTAAAAATAAAGAAAAACCCTGGAATGATTAGGTGTGTCCAAACTTTTGACTGGTACTGTATATTACATCATACTGTATGTTGACGCTAAAAATATAGAGAATATCACGTATTTCGATAAAATGTGCTTGATTAATTAGCATGGGAATGAAATCTCTCCCCCTGTTAGCGGTGACATGTGGTCTTCCTCCAATACCGAAAAATGGGAGAATGGTCTACGACAGAAAGTTCACAGGCAACACGACTGTGTTTGGTTTTGGGGGGACCTACGAGTGTTTCCCTCCACTTGCCCTCATAGGCAATGAGAGGGGATCGTGCAGCACTAACGGAAACTGGACTGAGCCACCAGAATGTAAATGTAGGTACATTATTATCAGTGAAAGGCTCTGATCTGTTGTATTGCTAGGGCGGCAGGTAGCCTATAGCAGGGATGGGCAACTTTGATGGTGGTGGGGGCCACAAAAAAATTGAACTCATCATGAGGGGCCACAGTGGCTTGTGGTTTTGCTGACATGGGCGAATTGAGTGACTGCAGATGCACAACCAAATTTCGAAATTGCACCTTGTGTATTCTATTATTCTAACTCTCAACAGTAAGCTGAGACCCTGATGAGTCTGTCCCCCCCAAAAAATAAAGGTTATTTATTATAATAAAAAATAAATAGAAAATTGGTACTTGGGCCGCCAGTTGCCCATCCCTGGGTTAGAACGTTGGGCCATTAAACAAAAGGTCGCTGGTTAGAATACCCAAGCTGACAAGGTGAAAAATCTGTCGATGTGCCCTTAAGCAAGGCACTTAACCCTTATTTGCTCCAGGGGCGCCGTACTACTATGGCTGACCCTGTAAAACAACACATTTCACTGCATCTCTCTGGGATATGTGACAATAAAACATCTTTATTTTTATTGCTGAACACTTCATGTCACCTTAGTCCTCCGTAAAAGGTGCAATTCATAACTTTCGTTCTTGAACTTTTGTAAACTGAGGGGTTATTGGTTATTATGTGGTCCTCTGTAGCTCAGCTGGTAGAGCACGGCGCTTGTAACGCCAAGGTAGTGGGTTCGATCCCCGGGACCACCCATACACAAAAATTTATGCACGCATGACTGTAAGTCGCTTTGGATAAAAGCGTCTGCTAAATGGCATATTATTATTATTATTATTAGTGTAACCGTTTGTTCGTTTTAGCTTTGGCCAGATATGTTTGTGATACCTCTGAGGAAATTAAAGTTATGAATTGCACCCTTTAATTGGTAATAAATGACAAGTGATTTGCTTGTGGATGAAGTTAAGGTGGTATTCTGAACACACACTAACCCTGACTGACCTCTCATTGTTTCCAGTTGTGACCTGTTCAGCTCCAACAGGCATCAACAACGGCTACATGACTATTAATGATAAGAGGGAGCACGGCTTCAAGCAGACTGTCAGATATGGATGTAATATAGACTATGTCCTGGATGGGCCTGTGGAGATCGAATGTCTCAAAACAGGGAATTGGTCAATAAAGCCAGTTTGCAGGGGTAGGACCACCGAGTTTGTGACAATTCTGTATTTTTGTTTTGTTTTATTACATTGTTTAACCAAACTTATTTGGTTACCTATCAAATCAGTGTTTTTGAATAGCTGAATGTTGCTGTTTTTGAAATTCTAAATAGTAATTTCCACCTAGCTCCCTGAGGCAATATTATAATTATTTATCATAATTTCCCTCTTTGTTCCACAGCTCCATGCAAGGTAGGTATTACAAGAGGACGCATCCTTTATAATGGAATGAAATTTTGGATAAAGGATTTCGAGCCCAATAAAATCTCGCATACGGACGTCATCTTGGTCTACTGTATGAACAAGGAGAAGAAGTGTGGCTATGCAGTGTCAACCCAGTGCATCGATGGAAAACTCAAGATCCCCGAATGCTTTGAAGGTGAGACTAGAGCACAAGCGTTTTTTCCTTGTTGGCTATTTTCTATATAAAAAACAAACAACAACATTACCATCAAGTCTTAATGATGTGTGTGTGTTTTTCTTTCTAGAACCAAGTGATTTTACATATAAATGGTACTATAAGTCCCTGCCATCTGAGATAGCCCAGTGCTGAAACTCAACTGTGCATGACAAAGCAAATTGAGACCAAGAACATTGATTGCCTGTGAATTTAAATGTCAATAAAACCATGTGTATTTCTATGTAATGCTATCCATTTATTCTTCTGAATAATTTATCTGTAGAGAACTAATTTTATGATTAATAAAATATACTGTTTGCTTGTATCTTTGTTGATGATTTGACCCTACATCTTACCCAATATTTGCAAAATAACAGTATAAGCTCAATATACAAATTATGTCACATGATGTCAGTGTTGTACAGCTGTAAAGATACTCTGTCAGGTCAAGTGGTCAGGAAAAACTCAAACATGCACGCACACACACACTCAAAACACACCAAACTCATTGCTACACCACAGACACACTGTCAACATACAATACATCGGCTGACAAGTCAGCTCCCAGAATAATACATTTCTACTACAAAACAGAACTCAACCCTCCTATCAGTGATTCATATCATAACCATACAGTCGACTGCAAGCCGGCCACAGTGCAACCCCATCCCGGTAACCCAAATCGCTTTGCATGTCTACTCGCTATGCGGTGGGTTTGATCCTCTGTCCTTGGCTGTCAGCTGGTATTCAGAACGGCCGGTTGATTGTACTGAGTCACGAGAACTGACTCTCCTTCCCCACTGGGGAAACGAGGCAGGACATGAAATAACTGCAGAGGCCGATTGTAGGTGGAGTCGCAAGGGTTTACAGTGCTTACTGGAGGGAGGGAGGGAGAGAGAGAGAGAGAGAGAGAGAGATGATTGGTATTGTAAGAGTACTTCAGACAAACAATTTGTTTCTGTTTACGTATCTCACCAGAGAAAGAGAAAAGAGATACAAAATACATTTCTTCATTGCCTCAGGACGTGCCAGGACCGTACTTGAACAGTTTTCAGAACACTTCCAAACGCGACAGCATTTTGACATCATGTTCACCAACCAACTATAGCCCGACATGTAACCTCTTTCACACAAATGTATTCAACTTTATTTCACACAATATTCTCTGGACCAAATGTCGGCAATTTGCGGAAGTTCTTTAGATATTGACTTAAATGAGTCCTGTACGAGCCTCCTCCATGACATGAGGCAAGCACTGACGGTCCTTAATAACCCGTTCTCCCTCTTTAGAGGATTAAACAGTCTCCGTGTTTTAATGTTGTTTCCTCTTGATGCATTATTTATTGTTGTTAATAGATGCAACTTTATTATTCCGATCCGCTTTCACTACGGGGTTTGGGCCCTTTTAAAAGTGTTTTCTACTCTTGTTTGTTTCGCCCGTTTTTTTCCCCGGGGTCTCTTTAAACTGTTGTTTGTCACTTTTTGGGGCTTCGTTTCTTTCCCCCTTTTCTCTCTACCCCCCTTGTGCCCCCTTTTTTTCAAAAAATAGGTTCCAAAAGGAAAAAAAATCTTGTGGCTTCCAAAGGGGAGAGATTGTGTTTGTCTAAGGGGTTTTAGTTGTTTCTTTTTTCGGTCCGGTGTGTCCAGTTCTTCCCCCGTTTCTTACGTAAAAAACCTTCAGTTTGGCTTTTTTTTTATTATTTTATTTGGAAAAAGCAAAATTTTTTTAATTAGAATTGTTGTTTTGGGGGAAAGGGTTATCATTTTTTTAATCAGACGCCCTATCTAGGGGTTACTTATACACCTTTCTTGGGGGAAACCCCACTGCCCATGGGTTTGGAGAGAAATACAGGAGGATGCACTCCTGGGGAGTTGGAATTGTGATTAATCCAACCCGTTCAAATTTTTCATGGAAGCATAAAACAAAAAAAAGGGGAAAAAATTGGAAAGGGGGGGTTAGGTTAAAATCAAGAAAATAAACTATCCCCTTCTAATCATATTTCGGGGGTTGGTGATTTATCAATCCGTCTCCACCCCCGGCTGTCTTTTGTACGGGGCAAGAAAACCCAAACCCTTTAAACCGTTTAACAGCCCTTTGGTTTTTTGGGCGAAAGACCGTTTAAGATAAAAAGCTCCCCCCTTTTTAGGGGCCGGTTGGGCAGCAATAGACAATGCATTCTGGTATGGTTTCACACCAATGGTTGGGGTGAAAATAGGGGAACTGGTGTGAGTTGGGAAAGATAAATAATTTTGACCGCTTTTTCAAGGTGAATTCTAGGATTTTGCGTTGGTATTCCCGTTAGTTTTTTCCCAAATTCACCCTTTGGGCCCACTGGGGAAAAGCAAAAAATTAAGGGAAAAAAAAGTCATTTAAAAAAAAAGTGCCCTGAATCCCTTTTTGCCCCCCCAGTTTTGCCTAACTGTCCCCCCACTAGGGCCAACCTGAGGTATCCATAGGGGGTTATTAAAGGAGGGGATGTCTTTTTTTTTAAAAAAAAACCCCCCCCCCATCAATGGTTGGCTTCATTTAGGTAATATTAAAGTACAATGTTTTATTCCAAACCCAAAAAGGGTTTTTTTTCTAATAAAAATATCCCATGCTGGGAGGTCACAGAATGCATTTCGATCGATTTTTACCCCATTTAAATTTATTGGGCACTTTTCACCCGCAAACACTTGCGGTTTTTTTGGAGGGGCATTCGATTATTAAACCCAAAAACAAGCGCAACTTGCCTGGGGGGGGAAAAGTCTTGATTCTCCCAGCTGTTTTTTTCAAAGGCATTTTCATGGGGAAGGGGGGAAGAAAGAGGAAATGAGGGGTTTTTAGGAGGAAAAGCTTTGAAAAGAAGGGGGATGGAAAAGGGAAACCCGGGGTTTTTTTATTTTGGGAGGGGGGCCTTTTTTGGAATTCGGCTTTTTTTTTTTTCTTCTTCAGTCCTTAAAATGGTTGGAAGCCCTTCGGGGGGAAGGTTTCCAAGTCGGAGCCCTTGGTTTCTTCACCCTCCTCCCCTTCTGTTTCCTTCCCCCTTCCTCCCCCTCGGCCTTCTTCCCGGTTTTATCGCTCCCCCCCTCCGGGTCTCCTTTCTTCCTTGGCCATAAAACCCTTTAACCTCCCCGGGGTTTGGAGGGGGAATCCAAATCTAAAACCCAGGGGAAGACGGAGGCCTTTTTCCTTCTTTGTTCGAATCGGAACGTCCGACCTTCTTTAAAATTTAAAAAAAGAGAATGTTTTTTGGGGCTTAGGGGAAAGGCTATTTGACCCCCTTTAAAGGTTCCCCCTTTTAAAGTTTGGGGTTGAAGATACCCCAAAGGGGCCCCCACCCCTCTTTTAACCTCTTTTTTCCCCCCCCCCTTTTTTTCCCCCCCCTTTTTTTTCCCCCTCCCCCTTTTTTCCCCCCCTTTTTGAGGGGAAAACGGGAAACCCCGGTAAAACTTTTTTTAGTTTGTGAAATTGAACAAGGGCCCCCGCCCATCCCGAGGCCCCAACCCCTTTCGGGAAGGTAAAAAGTTACCCCCTTTTTTAAAAAACCAGCCCAATCTTCCCTTTCCATTTGGGAAACCCCCCGGGACGAAAAAATTTTTTCTTAAAATTTTAATGCTCCATTTAAATGAGGAGAGGGAAGGGGCAAGCAAAGCATTGGCGAGGACAAAAAGGAACTACCAGTTCCCCCAAGGGGGGAATGGGCGGGGAAACACCAGAAAGAAGAAGAGGGGGGTGGGGGAAATTTTGGGGTTTTTCGGTTATAAAACAGGGGGGAAGGGGGTTTGGGTTTGGGGGGAAAGGGGGTTTGGTTTAGGAAGGGGGGGATTCTGGAAAAAAGGCTTTTTGGGGGGAGGGAAGGGGGTGGGGGAAGTGGGGGAGGAAAAAAAGGGGAAAAAAGAGGAAGGAGAGAAAGAGATACTTTTTTTATAACATCTGGGCAGTTTGGCTTGGGTGAAGACTTCTGGCAACTTCTTTTTTTTGGCTGATGTGTTTCCCTGTCTCTTATCTCAGGCCTCGGAAGACGCTTCAGTCAATGCTGGATAAGTCTTCATGCCCTGAGATGGTTTTAGCCCTTGTTTTATTAATTCCCTCTCTCTATCCTATCTCTCTCTCTCTCTCTCTCTCTCTCTCTCTCTCTCTCTCTCTAGCTCTCTCTCTCTCTCTCTCTCTCTCTCTCTCTCTCTCTCTCTCTCTACCCACACCTCCACCATACCCCGGTCTCTCCTGGCAGGGCTAATCCTACCTCTTAATCAGGGTGAAGACGTGAGGCTTTGCCATTCTCTGTCTCAGTCAGGGAAAATGGCCGACCTTGACTATGTGAGTAAGTGTAGAAGCTGTGTAGTTGTAGGGGCTTACTTGTGTAGCTATGTGGTAGATGTCCATGTATGTGCCAGTGGTTTAGTGTTTTGGGTTGAACCCCAAATGGCTCCCTATTCCCTAATAGTGCACTTCTTTTGACCAGGGCCCATAGGGAATAGGGTGCCATTTCGGACACCTCCATGGTGGATTTTTTTTCCAGTCACAACTGAGTAATCCAGTCTGAGAGGATTACTGGGAAACCAGTAGACGTTGTGACGTTATGTGTCACAATTTAACGTGACTCCACTTTGTGTCTCCACACAGCTTTGATCTCTGAGGTGTCTTCCTCAAACCTTCTTTAGGTAACAAAGTTACAATACATTAAAACACACAGTCAAGTCTTTCATGTCAGTCTTGTGAAAGCGGAATAAATAAATGAATCCACTTCAATCCTGGCTTTGTTGAGAGGATGCAGCTGGGGATGGAGGGATGGAGGGGTGGATGGCACCAGGCCCTGGCATTGTTTGCCCTACCGCTGCCTATAACCGGATTGTGGTGCCTGGCTGGCGTCCTCCGTAGACCAAGAAAGGTCACGTCGTCACCCACATGAAAGAGACAGGGGTTTAGTCACCCTTTGAAAAGCGATGACGCTGGTCACTATCCGTCCACTGTCAATGGACACACACACACACACACACACACACACATACAAAGCATCACAGATAGCCATCGTGTCTCTCTTCTCGGAAGCCACAAGCACCAAAAGAGGCCTAGTTACTAGAAAGGACAAATATGTTTTCTGACAACACAGTTTTTATTTTCCTCTATGGCCGCCTTCAGAAACTTGCTTTGGAGTCAGTTTCATTGCCTTCGGATGACTTAGGTTACAGGATTATACTTCTGGGTCTCCATATTGAACAATATGCTTTTTCTCTCTCTATTTGCCCTGAGTTGGTGGTGTCTTGTTAATTCTCTGTCTTTCTCTCAGATGTGGTTCTGGCTATTTCAGAATCCAACTTTTCAAGTGGTATCCAAGTCCCTTT